GCGCTCGCGCTCGCATACGGCCGTGCGTAGGACCGTGCGTCGCCGACCGCCTGGCCGGCCGGTTGGGTACTATAAGAGATACGTCGCGCTCGGCGCGTCGAACGAGTCGAGCGAGTCCGGACGAGTCGTAAACGTACTTTCTCGAGTCTCTCGCCACTCCGGCGTGTTTCGACCGCTCTCCGTACCGTCGCCGACCGCTTGGCCGGTCGGTTGGGTACTATAAGAGGTAGGAGAGATTAATATTGTACGTGTCGCGCTCTCGACGTTGACAAACGAAGAATCGCCCGAACGGGTCGAGAACGGATTTTGTCGAGTCGCGACTCTGACACGGAGAGAACATTTATATAAAATTTTGATTTTGGAAACCACGAATATATAAAATAATATACGATCGTCGCAGAACGCGCCGCCGCCAAGTCTTCTCATGCTTGGAGGTTGCGTGTCTCGCGAGAACGTACGTTCGACTCTCGCGTCGTCTCGTATTCCTCTTCGCCGGGGATTACGGTGCGGCTCTTCTCGTTCGTCGCCGAACGCGCGCAAAATTAACGCACACTTATTTATTACGAGCACAGCATTGCCACGAGTCGGTGTCGCAAGACCGAATGGCTCTTATGTGGCGCGCACGCCTCTAGTGTGTTGGCCGCGCGGTTCCCTCTCGTTTCGTACGCAGCAGCGGAATCGTCGCGCTTACCGAGCATCTACTCCACGGATACGAGTTTGCGGGAAGAGTTGCTTCTTCCCGTTCGCTTTGTACGCCGTAGCGAAATCTTATTGCTGGTCGTGTGCGGTTAAACGTGTACGAACCAGACAGAACAGTCCTCGACGTCTAAGCATCGCCATCGTCGATCTAGCGTCAGGGTGAATCGCGCGGTCTCTCGAGACCGCGCATCATAACATTTGGGAGAATAAGAACACGAGTATTTTGATCTTGTGGATTTTTGAACGGAGAGGAGGAGGAAGAAGAGGAGAGGCGGCGGCGTCGGGGGTTTACTCTCGCCTCCGTCGTTCTCTCGTACGCTTTACATAATAGCGTTAAACACAGCAGAGTGTCGCCGACCGGCTGAGCAAGACCGGCGGCAAATAAAATGGCACATACGAGCGTGTCGCGCGCGCGTCGGTGTTTCGGCATCGAACGCGCGCGCGCGCGAAAAAGAGCTAGCGACGAGTCTTCGGGCTCGCTCGCAAGTTACTCCCTTGCGAGTAACCGAACACGAAGCTCCCTGGTTGATCCTGCCAGTAGTCATATGCTTGTCTCAAAGATTATAAATGTAATTTATTTAATTACATTTTTATTTTTTAAATAATACATATATACGTTCCAAAAAATATAAGCCATATTATTATATATGTACGTGTGTGTGGGTGTATAACTATCATTTAATACACATTCACGTTAAATCACATCATTTAATCATATTTAATAACTATATCACTAACATATATAATTAATACTTATAATAAATCATTTTTAAAGTAATTTTTTTATATTCTAGTTATCACTTTATCAGAATTATGAAAAAAATTGATACAATTGTTAGAAAACTTAAATGTGCATAACTTTTTAATATATAGGCATTAATAAAATAAACATAGTGATTGTTAATTTTTTATGCTACAGCTACGCATAAAAGTACTAAAATACTTAGAACTTTAAATTACTTTAATATTCAACTGTATATATTATTATAACTTTTCTCGTTTTATACTATATTTAAAAAATAATATTTAATAATTACTTTATTGCACTTACAACTATGCATATGTATTTAATACTGTAACCATTTAAATAATAAAATATATATATAATTACTGTGTATGAAATTAATACATTCAAAATAAAAAAAGTACATATGCAAAAATAAACTCTATAAAATCTATAAATAAACGTAATAATAATAAACTGTGCAATAAACGTAATAATAAACGTTCAAATATTTTATTTATTATATATTAAAATTATTATATTTAATAACCTGTCCTTTTCTTGTTTAGATCTCCTCATTTTCGCATCTCTTTTTTTGTTCTTCCTTTTTCCTAAAAAGAAATATGTGATTGTTATACATAGGTGCAATAAGTCAATTCTGCAATAAATATTCTATACAAAATAACAATAAGTTCTTAAATGTTGTATTTAATTTAAAAAAACTAATACACGCAATAATGAACAGATAGTGCATGTGTTCACCCTCTTTAAAATCAGTTTCTTATAAAATAAAAAGTTTGAGATAAGATGATAAAATAGTTAAATTGAGGTATATTATATATAACTTACAAATCTCGGTCAAATCTCTGCTTGGCTAAAATTAGCCATCTTGCAATTATATCCTCAACTTCCTTATTTGTTAAATTGGTTCTTGAAGTTCGCGCAGCATCTAACAACAAGTTTAAACAGATATGTGTGGTTATAGATTATATAAAAATTTAAAGCGACTTAATTTTATATATATATATATATATATATATATTCAGCATTGCCGACAGCACCAGGTTGATAATCCCTGAACAGGGCCCAGGACTTATAATTTTGCAATTTTTTTGAATAAAATAATTTATTCATGAAACTAATAAAATTATAACAAGAATATGTAATAAGAATATTTTTAAATTGATCTGTGTATTGGTTTAATTTATCGTCATCAAAGAGGAAAGAAGGAAAATCTCCGATTACGTTTATTTGTCAATCATAATTAAAAATATTCGAAAAATCATATGCTTTTGTTTTGTAATTGTCAATCTAATCTTTGATTGACTTTGCACGATAAGAAAATTAGTTATATTTTACAATTTTACATTATAAATGTTGATAAAAATTCAAGTTGTGAACTTTGACTTCGGAATCGAGCAAATTCAATCGAAGATAGTATCGACAATTTATCATTTGATCGAATATCTGATTGATAAGAAATAAACATAATCGGAGATTTTCCTTTCCTTCCCCTTTGATGACGCGATAATATGAACCAATATATTGATCAATTTAAAAAATTATTCTTATTAGTTTGATGAATAATTATTTTATTCATAAAATAGATTGCAAAAATAAAATCTTGGGCTTTTTTGTACGTGGATATCATTCTAATGCTACGGGCAGTGTAGGCACATTTGAAAATCTATATTTATAATTGTGCAAAAAATTATATATATATATATGAAGATAAAATTATATATATATATATATATATATATATATATATAATTTTTTGCACAATTATAAATATAGATTTTCAAATGTACCTACACTGCCTGTAACATTAGAATGATATCCACGTACAAAAAAGCCCAAGATTTTATTTTTGCAATCTATTTTATGAATAAAATAATTATTCATCAAACTAATAAGAATAATTTTTTAAATTGATCAATATATTGGTTCAATTTATCGCGTCATCAAAGGGGAAGGAAAGGAAAATCTCCGATTATGTTTATTTCTTATCAATCAGATATTCGATCAAATGATAAATTGTCGATACTATCTTCGATTGAATTTGCTCGATTCCGAAGTCAAAGTTCACAACTTGAATTTTTATCAACATTTATAGTAAAAAATAATAAAAAAATTAGAAAATAAAAAATAAAAAATAAAAAACAATTAGAAAAAAAATAAAAAATAAAAAACAATTAGAAAATAAATAATAAAAATAAAAAATTAGAAAATCAAAATTAGAAAATAAAAAATTAAAAAATTAGAAAATAAAAAATAAAAAGTAAAAAATAAAAAACAAAAAATTTAAAGTAAAACAAAACAAAAATTAAAAATAAAAATAAAATTAGAAAATAAATAAAAAATAAAAAACAAAATTAAAGTAAAAAACAAAACAAAAATTAAAAATAATAAAAGAACAAAAAAATTATAAGTATAAAAAATAAGCTTGTAAAAGTTTGAAATAATCACACATAAATAAAATCTGTTGTTTATTATATAATTTTTCTTATTTAAATTTATTGTTATCATACATATTTAGCGCTATATAATTTACAAAAATTTCAGATTTTTGAATTCAAAAAATTTTTTTAATTATAATTATTATTATTAATTCTACAATTTACAGGAGCAGTTGGGAGACGCCGCGCTAAGTGTGTGTTCCGCAGCGTCAGTATACATATGCGTGTGTGCGTATGTGAGTGCATGTCAGTATGTGTATGAATGCGGGTATTCATATGTTCGTATGCGCGTGTTTGCGCGCATGAGTGCGTACATATGTGCGTATGTGCGCGCGTGACTTCGTGCGCGTACATGTGTATGAGTGTGTGAGTACATCCGTTGAGTATCGATATTTGTGTTTGTCTATTTATTACATAAAATAGTGCGCGTGCGTATATGTCTCAAATTTAGCGCGACGTCTCCCGACTGCTCCTGTAAATTGTAGAATTAATAATAATAATTATAATTAAAAAATTTTTTGAATTCAAACATCTGAAATTTTTGTAAATTATATAGCGCTAAATATGTATGATAACAATAAATTTAAATAAGAAAAATTATACAATAAACAACAGACTTTATTTATGTGTGATTATTTCAAACTTTTACAAGCTTATTTTTATACTTATAATTTTTTTTTTTTTTTATTATTTTTAATTTTTGTTTTGTTTTTTACTTTAATTTTGTTTTTTATTTTTTATTTATTTTCTAATTTTTATTTTTATTTTTAATTTTTGTTTTGTTTTACTTTAAATTTTTTGTTTTTTATTTTTTATTTTTATTTTTTATTTTCTAATTTTTTAATTTTTTATTTTCTAATTTTGATTTTCTAATTTTTTATTTTTATTATTTATTTTCTAATTGTTTTTTATTTTTATTTTTTTTTTTATTATTTATTTTCTAATTGTTTTTTATTTTTTTTCTAATTGTTTTTTATTTTTTATTTTTTATTTTCTAATTTTTTTATTATTTTTTTTTTATTTATTTTCTAATTTAAACATTAAAACTTTGTTGGCAGCAGTCGGGAGTTTTTTTTTTGTAAAAAATTTTATTATCTATTGCTAAAAAGAACGCACAATGTAAGGTACGTCCATTAATTAATCTAGCGGCAACACCAGTAAGAGCAGTCACTTCAACGAATGTCGGTTTCAATAAAAGATCAATAGTAGGAGCATAACATCGCTTAATCTGTTGTTCTATCATTTTTAAAAGAAATGTTTTTCCACATCCTGCTCCTCCTGTAATGAATAATAGTAAAGGTTCACTAATTTGACCTTTAATATCTTGTTTAATATGATCAGTAATTGTGTGAAACAAATTAGATTGTTCTATATTCATATTTCTAACATTTTGTTCGAATTCTTCAGCAGATATGACACGATCTGCTTCGTTAGGTTCATCGTGTAAATCTAAATCAATATTTTTTTCATCATATTCCTCCATTATAGAACGTACTCGATCTTCGTTTCTTACCGTAGATTGTGCATTTGTATCGCCGTCATCAAATGCTGCAATTTGAGCTATAACTTCTTGTAATTCTTGTTCTACAAATTGAAATTGCTCAATATTTTGTCCTCTCCGTAGAGGTCGTAGTAGTTGACGCTTGGCATTAAATGCCTGTTCTGCTGTTTCATATCCCTCAAGTAGTTCTTCTTCATTTCTAAAAGGAACATGAGCTACTAAATAACTATAAAAGTATGCTTCACGATTACTAGTTTGAGTATAATATCGTGTTCTTAACACTGCAGGACGTGTACGCCGTTTCATTTTTGTACCATCTTGTAAACGAATACTTAGTTGAAACTACATCGTTTTCTTGATTATAAACTTCGATATCTCCATCTTCTTCATAATTGTCAAATCGTGATACACATTCATATGTAACAGCAAATTCAGCTAAACTGAGATCGTTTAAATTCTCCGGACGTAAACAATAACGATCAAATAAGTTTGCATATACACTGTTAATATAGCCATCACAACGTAACATACGATAACGTTCTTGCGGAAAGCATGTATTTAGAAAAACAACTTTTCGTGAACTATCACGTAATTTTAAATGGCATAAACGAAATGCACATTCACAGGCAGATATCTGTCTATGTCGAAGTATAGTCATTGATACAGCAAATAATTGCTTTCCTATATCTCCACCGTATCTCTGAACTCTACTGATTGCATCTTTAATTGCTTGACCAACATCATGAGATTCATGTTTAGCTGCATATTTAGCTATATAATAAGCTATACCTGTAACATTCCCACAAGGTTGCAAATCCATATTGCCATTCCATAATTTAAGAAGTGTAGGATTATAATTATTAACAAATACATCTGTAGAATTACGTTTTAATATACAGAAACGTCCATTATTACGAATAGCTTCATCTGGTCCAAGCAAGGTAGTTGTATCACTAACTCTTCTTGGAAAACCAAATCGGCATTGTCCGTGTTGTCTATCTTTGTAACATGTATTACTATGTCTATGCACTTGAACGCGTGCAATGAGTGCATCTAATTCGTCATCTCCCGTAGAAGATGTACAGGATACAATTTTGTCAATAAGAGCTATACCTTGTGGGCCTTCAAATAATGGAATTTCTTCATTCCAGCACAGCATATGTAAATGTAGACTACCTCTATTTTGAAATTCTATTCTCCACCAGAAATCTATTAGTTTCTCACCTAATAAAGTGTCATCATTTAGCAATACACGCATCATTGCATGAACACGAACCATAAAATGACGAGATAATACTACGGGATGCTCAACAACTAATCGTTGTTTTTCATTAAACTCTAAATTGTCTACATTCTCTCCTTTTCTTTGAGCTGCAATAAGACATGCTTGCAATATATCTTTCCAATTAAGATCGTTGCAACTTAACGTTAAAAACCATTGTGGCGGGCCCAAGTTGCGAACCATAGCAATTAAACCGCTACATGCAGTTTGCCAATATGCATTAGAACCACGCAAAGCTCTCATATTAATATGCAAATTTTGTACAAGGCCTTCAGGAATATTATTGCCTTGTCTAAATCTAAGGCAGACGTCAACATTTTGCCGAGCCCGGTAATATTCCATGACGGATAAACAATAAAATAAGTAATCATTTCGTTGAAATCTAGGATCCTGACACATAATACGAGCTTGACAATAATCTAATGGTGTAATAGGATATAATCCTGATGGTTCATGAAGTCCATTTCGTCCTTTTGGAAAAAGGAAAAACCAAGCTAATTCTTCAGCTCGAAGTTCAGTATGCATCTGTACAGGTTCTGTAGTTTTCCGTCGCAATGTGTATAAGGGAGCATCTTGTACTTCTTTTTTAATAACAGATTGAACGTCAGGTATAGTTTCATCAACTGGCCTTAAAACTGAAGACATAATAACAATATTATAATTATCATTATTTGTATTTAATTCTGCAGCATTCGCATAATTAGAATTTAATTCTGCAGCATTCTCATCATTTGGATTCAATTCTGCAGCATTCTCCTTTAATTCTGCTACATTTTCAATGTACGTATTATGTATTTGATTTTGTTGTTCATTAGAATGCATATGAGGATAAACAGCAGTAATGGTATACTGATTATTAAAAGTATTATCCAAAAATTTTGGTAAAAAAATACTTTTTAACATATTAAACATTGATAACGTAGCTGGAAATCGAATCAAACATGCTGTATCATTTTGTGCTGGTCTACCTTTTGAACCTCTTGAATGTGAATCAAATAGCCAATAATTATTATCAAATTGAAATATAGAAACAGAAATTCCATTAGCAGTTAATACACCATAATTATGATCTCGAAAAAAAATATTTAAAGCATTTTTCAAATTAGGAAATCCTTCATTGCTATTGTCATTATATAAATGCCCTGATACGCTATTTTGCGGAGTGATTAAAAGGGTAATAATATTTCCAAAGACTTCAATATCTGTGTGCAATTCATCTATTGATAAAAAATCCCTGTTAATTTTAGCAAGATGAGGATTCTTACGCTTCGATATACTTGTTACATATAATGCATCTCCTATCAATAAAATGGTATCAATGAGATTTTTTGTCCAAGTTTGAAGTTGATGTATTGAAGACATAGCTATAGCAACCGCCGCAATTGCAGTACACTGTTTCCCTCTTGTAGTATCAGAAAACATTTCATGACCTTGATGTATGGAACCTCTGATTATTGCTCTATTCCCAGCTATTTCGATTAAATTTGTCTTATTTATTGTCTGCTCTGTGGATGGGCCATTATTTACATTAATATTCATATCATTATCTTGTGTTACAATAATTTGACATATTTGTGAAATGTCAAAATTTGCAACGTCAAAATTAACATTAATGTTTTGATATAATGGATTATTTTGGATTAACCACGCTAAAGCAGCTGATAAATTTTGCACGTTAATTTGTAATTGTCGGCATCTTTCAACATTCTCAAGTTGTTTACATACAATAATCATGCCTATTCTTGTAATTGGTAATGGTAATTGCTCCGATATTTCTTCTATATCTTGCGCAAATAAAATAGCTTGTCCTCGAAAGCCAGATTGACCAAATCGTCCACCTAACTTAATAATTTTTATAAATGGAACAATTCTTGACAAAAGTCTTTGTTCCATATCACTTAAATTTCGCAAAACATCTGGAATTTCATCTAAAAACATAGCATTCCAATATGCTTGTGTTGGAACTTTGCCTTTTTTAATCAAATTAGCACAACGGAAACATGTTATAATTTCATTTAATTCGCGTAATTTGGTAGGAAAAATATCAATCGTTTTAGCAGATATTTTCGTATTACATATCTGCTTTTTATAGCATAATTTTTTACAAACATCACAAGCAATATCCGCAAAAGACGATATAGTTAAATGAAATTGTTGTAACAACTTTTTCTATGGGTATTAATATCAGATTGTGGAATTTCCTGAGGGATCGATAACACAGTAGCTTGTAATATTTGATTGTTGGGTAGAAGTACATTAGTAGCATCTTGTGAAATATTTTTTTCAGTATTTATTGTTGCAGAATATTCTATTGCTTGTTTAAGTGACAATTGTTGATTTGCTGCTTAAATTGTTTGTTCGTTGTTTGTTGTTGATAAACATGTTTTTTGCTTTTTATAGCGCAAATTTTTTGCCGCTGTGTTACTTTTTCGTCCGATATTTCTTCTCTTCTTTCTTCGTGTAACCTGAAATAGACATATATATATATATCTTTATATATTTATATAATATTATAATATATTTCTACATATAATATAACAATATATATGTTGTATAATTAAAAAAAATAGTGTTATAATAATTATAAATATATAACATAATTGTAACCATATATATATAATATAATAATAATAATAATATTATAATAATAATAAAAATTGTATTATAATAATTTAATAAAATAAAATTGATTGAATACGTATAAGCAATCAAACGGCTCTGCTAATTTTTAATATATTTAAGTCTCAGGATATGAGTTAGCTATAGGAGCCAAGCGCAGTTAATGAGGCGCGTATTTTTTCTAAAGGATTAATTAGGTTTTAATAATCATAAGAAATACATTTAATATAATCTTGTCTTTAATATAATCTCAAGCAAATAAAATAAGAATCGACATATATGTAAGTCAATTTTTTTATAAGTTTTATTATATTGAACTGATTTCACTCCATAAATTTTAAAGGTTTAAAACAATATATTCTCATAGATGCAAGAACATATATACGTAACACACATTTTGCCTTCCGGGCTTTTCAACCTAGAGAAGAAGTATAATGAGACAATCGTTAAGAAACATAATGAATATTATGGAGCGAAACAAGATCGCACGTCTTGAACATTATTTTTTTTTAATTGTTTTTTTAATGTATTATTACTGCTATTTATTTATATCTATGCGCTGAAGAAGGCTCAAAGAAAGAGCCGAAACGTTCGCACTTTAATGTCTTGTATATTAAATATATTTCTTATGATTATTAAAACCTAATTAATCCTTTAGAAAAAATACGCGCCTCATTAACTGCGCTTGGCTCCTATAGCTAACTCATATCCTGAGACTAAAATATATTAATTATTATTTATATAAATATAAATATTACATTTAACGTATAAGACGGGCAATAAGAGCCAAATCGCGGATGACAATGCGTTATCCTAACGAAACTAAATTATTTTTCGTTAGAATTAAATACCGGTGCACAAGGCACCAAATTTTACTTGGACACGGCCAAGATTTTTTAAATATGAAATAATCTCATATTTGAGATTTAATTTCAATACCCCTTTAACCCCCCTACGGAAAATAAATAAATGAATGCAAGAGAAAAATATAGATCCGAAAGTCGCTGAATCGGGAATCGAACCCGAGACCTTTCGCTTGCCGGGCGACTGCTCTTCCAGCTGAGCTATTCAGATCCCTTCGATTCTATACTTTTCTCTGTTATATATATTAATGTTGGTAAACAAACGCCTTTAAGCCAGCGTGTATAAATTTAAGAGTTTAACAAGGCTCTGTAATATAAATATAAATTTAACGTATAAGACAGGCAATAAGAGCCAAATCGCGGATGACAGTGCGTTATCCTAAACGAAACTAAATTTTTTCGTTAGAATTAAATATCTTGTGCACAAGGCACCAAATTTTACTTGGACACGGCCAAGATATGAAATTAGAATAATCTCTACAAGAGATTTTTAATTCCATGTATCCCCTATTCCCCTAAAGAAATAAATGCGAGAGAAAAATAT